TTAGAAAACTACAAAACAGTGTTGGAGATTTATGGAATAATTCAAATGACCCAACAAGTTCCTGAAGAAGCAGAAAGAATGGATTGGAAGGCCTGTTTAGTGAAATAATCACAGAAAACTTCCCTAATATGAAGAAAGAAAGGGACGTCCAGGTACAGGAAACACATAGAACTCCTAATAGATAAACAGAAAAGTACCTCACCACAACACATGGTAGTCAAACTCTCCACAGCAAAACATGAAGAGTATTCCTAGTCTTAAGAGAAAAAAACTGTCAACCCAGAATATAATACCTTGCAAAACTCTCATTTATGAATGAAGGTGAAATAAAGACCTTCCATAACAGAAATTGAAAGAATTTGTCACTGCCCATCCAGCCTTACAAAAAGATGCTTAAGGATGTGCTACACACAGAAACAGAGAAACATGGTCATCACTATGAAAGAAGGTGAAGGTAGAAAAATCTCCCAGTAAAAGTACAAAGGAAATCCAAAGTAAATAATAGGAAAATTTATGGAAAAACTGCAGGGCCTAGTCATTATTTATCAATAGTCACCTTGAATGTAATTGGCCTCAACTCTCCAGTAAAAAGATACAGACTGGCTGAATGGATTAAAAAACAAAACCTATCTATTTGCTGCCTACAAGAACCACACCTCACCAATAAAGATACACATAGACTGAAAGTGAAAGGATGGAAAGATATTCCACACTAACAGAAAACTAAAAGGAGCTGGTGTAGTCATCCTAATATCAGACAAAATACTTTAACACAAAAACTGTTAAAACAGACAAAGAAGGGCACTACGTAATGACTAAGGGATCAATTCAACAGGAAGATATGACTACAATAAACATATATGTACCTAATTACAGGGCATCTGGCTATTTAAAAGAAAGGCTGGGGCCGGCACTGCGGTGTAGCGGGTAAAGCCGCCACTTGCTGTACTGGCATCCCATATGGGGGCTGGTTTGAATCCCGGCTGCTCCACTTCCAATCCAGCTCTCTGCCATACCCTGGGAATACAGCAGAGGACAGCCCAAGTCTTTGGACACCTGCACCCGCATGGAAGAACTCAAATAAGCTCCTGATCAGCCCAGCTTCAGCTATTGCGGCCACTTGGGGAGTGTCCCAATGGATGGAAGATTCTCATTCATTCATTCATTCATTCTCTCTCTCTCTCTGCCTCTGCCTCTCTGTAACTCTGCCTTTCAAATAAATAAATGTCTTTAATAATGGATCTAAAGGAAGACATAGACTCATTACTTAGTATACAGTTAATCTTATGTGTATAAAATTAATTGAAAATAGATCTTAGTAAAAAATAAGAATGGAAATAGAAGAGGAGGAAGAAAGGTGGGAGATTTGGGTATGGTGAGAAGAATCACTAAGTTCATAAAGTTGTATTTATGAAATACATATAATTTGTATACCTTAAATAAAAGGTTTCGGGGGGGAAGGAAAATGATGTATCTACTTTATCTCAAATTTATTCTCTAATACTATAATTACTTACCACAATTATTACTATGTATTCACTTTTTCTTTCCTACCAGACTGCATTATCTTTAAACAACACCCCTGACACAATGCACAAGTAATGCTAGGACGACACTGGTAATTATCTGTTGCTGAATTTACAATAACTGTCAACTCAAAGGACCTTCAAGTGTCATTAGACTAAGAACCACTTGGTAGTACACAGAAACTTTAAGCATGTCAACCTCTATCCTAACGTCTTCTCAGTTTCTACACAGAAATACTAATTCCTAATAAATAGACTTTCTATTAATCATAACATTTAAAGAACTCAAATATTAAATTCCTCTGCAAGTTACAATTCTACAACTTAGAATACTATGGACAATTATGCCTTGTAATACATATTACACTCTACCCACACCAAAACTAGCCCCTCTCCTTTCCTTTCCAGAAAGGAGTCAAATGGGTGCAAGACACAAATAGGTAAATCTTTCTTTTATTTGAAAAAATGGTGTCTGCAGCCATACAGAAGGTACCATGGAGATCACTATTAAAGTACATCTTAATGGCATTAATCCAGGAACCCCAGACCTGAGACAGGACATCAGACTCAAAGGCCTATCCGTGCAATGATTTCCAAAGAAATTCCTGGACATCTGAAATTAATTCTTCCAATAATTTCTGAACCTCACTCAACAGGACTATAATCAGTCTTTATTCCTAAAAAGCTCAAAATAGCTATAACTGTACTTTAAACACACTGTAATTCCACACACTTGGGACCTTGAATTTCCAGAGTATATTTCAGATGATCACTTGGCAACTTAACCACCAAAAACACAAATGCAAATACCAGTGTTGAAAACTTGTGGTCATACATAGCTATAAAGTAATCCTCCAGATATTTTAGCTTATACTTGGGAGATAATTAAAACAAAATACAACCTTCGGAAATGTAAACTATCACATACCACACTAAGTTCTTCTGACTTTCTCTACTAAATTGTGATCCAAGGAACTGTTGTAAACTTGCAGCTATTTAATATGCTGTCTTTTCCTTTTCCTGATAACTGTACCATCTGGGAAAGGCACTAAACACCAGCTGTAAATGCTAAGATGACCTGAGCAAATAAATAATTTATATATTTTCCTATTATAAAAGAACCATTATGTGTTCAATTTAACTGTCAAATTTAGAAATAGATGAAGCAAGGGCCAGCACTGTGGCACAGTGGATAAAGCTGCCACCTATAACACCTGCATCTTATATGGGTGTTGGTCCAAGACCTGGCAGCTGCACTTCTGATCCAGTCCCTGTTAATGGACCTGGGAAAGCAGTGGAAGATGGGCCTCTCCACCCATGTGGGAGATCTGAAAGAAGCTACTGACTCCTGGCTTCAGCCTGGCCCAGCCCTGGCTGCTGCAGCCATTTGGGGAGCGAACCAGCAGATGGAAGATTGATCTCTCTCTCTCTCTCTCTCTGTGTCTCTGTCTCTTCCTCTCTCTGTATAACTCTGCCTTTCAAATAAATAAATAAATCTTTTTTTAAATATATTTGTGATTTCTGTTTTTTTTTTAAAGATTTATTTTATTCATTTGAAAGAGCTAAAGAGAGAGGTAGAGAGGTCTTCCATCTGCTGGCTCACTCCCCAGATGGCCACAATGGCCGGAGCTACACCGACCCAAAGCCAGGAGCCAGGAGCCTCCTCCCGGTCTCCTACGCAGGTGCAGGGTCCCAAGGACCTGGACCATCTTCCACTGCTATCCCAGGTCACAGCAAAGAGCTGGATCAGAAGAGGAACAGCCGGGACTAGAACTGGCACCCATATGGGATGCTGGCACTTCAGGCCAGGGTGTTAACCTGCTGTGCCACAGCGCTGGCCCCAAATGAATAAATCTTAAAAAAAAAAGGGGGGGGGGGCGGGGCAGCACTACGGCGTAATAGGCTAAGCCACCCACCTGCAGCCCAGCATCACATATAGATGCCAGTTTGCGTCCCAGCTGCTTTTCTTTCGATCCAGCTCCCTGCTTATGGCTTGGGAAAGCAGTGGAAGATGGCCCAAGTCCTTGGGCCCCTGCACCCATGTAGGAGACCCAGAAGTAGCTCCTGGCTCCACATCGGCCCAGAGCTGGCCACTGTGGCCATTCGAGGAAAGAACCAGCATATGGAAGACCTTTCTCTCCATCTTTCCCTCTCTCTGACTGTAACTGTTATCTCTCAAATATATAAATAAAAATCTTAAAAAAAAAACAGATGAAGCAAAAAATTAAAAAATTTCTGTCACGGACTGAACAGGGTCTCATGTAGGCGTTTAAACCCCAAAGTCTTACGTTAACAGTTGATCTAATTATGGCATCTGAGAGGTAGCCTTGGTGAGAGGTCTTCAAGCCAGGAGGGCTTGTCGTAAGTTCTCAGCAGTGGGTTAGTGGGTTCGCTATGTAAGCCCAGTGTGTTTCTTGCGTCTCTCTCTGCTTCCTCACTTGCCATGTAAACATCCCTCCACTGTCTTCCAGCCTCACCAGATACCTAAACCCTTAGGGCCACCCAATGTTGGAGTTAAAATCTCCAAATTAGAAACTGAAGCAAAGTTTATTTCCTTCTAAATTGCTCCTTGATAGTATTTTAGTAAATCAAGATCAGAATAATACATTCCTCTACCCTACTCCCCAAAGATAAACATTCTTAAGAGATACCACTCTATTTTCTCCTCTGCACATTCAAATACAAATATACACTTTTTGTTTTACTTTGTTATTAAATACCCCAAGAGAGGTGACCAAAGAACCTAAGTATGAGTGTCCAGAGATAATATCACAAAGTCATTGGGGCTGGTGCTGTGGCACGGAGGGTAAAGCTCTTTCCCTCTCTTTGACTGTAACTCTATCTCTCAAATATATAAATAAAAATCTTAAGAAACAGATCAAGCAAAAAATTAAAAATTTCTGTCAAGGACTGAAAAGGATCTTATGTAGGCATTTAAACCCCAAAGTGTTTACGCAGTGCTGCATCCCATATGGGCACAGACTTGAGAACTGGCTGCTGCACTTCCAATCCAGCTCTCTGCTATGGCCTGGGAAAGCAGTGGAAGATGACCCAAGTCCTTGAGCCCCTGCACTGGAGTAGGAGACCCAGAAGAAGCTCCTGGATCCTGGCTCTGGATCAGCCCAGCTCTGGCCGTTGCAGCCATTTGGGGAGTGAATCAGCAGATGGAAGACCCCCCCCCCCCCCCCAACGCTCTGCCTCTCTGTAACTTTTCCTTTAAAATAAATAAATACATCTTTTTTAAAAATCACAAAGTCATAATACAACCTTCAAACATTTTTAACATCTCTTAAAAATACAAAGTTCTCAATTTCTATATCTCAACAGACCTCAAGAATAAAATATACATTTGTATAATCTTATTTTCCTTATGTCTTGCAATTAAGAGATGCTAATACAATAGATAACATAGGCCAATACTCTTTCCTACAAGAAAAGCAAAATAAGGAAATATTCTGACTTTCAATTACCCACCAAATACTGCCCGGGCCAGATTCCCAGTATAAATCAGTCTTCCATCTTCTGAGTTGTCAATCTGTGTACGTAAGCATCGAACACATCCTGCCCAACAAACGGGTATCTATTGAAACACAGACCAATTTCAAATGAGCACCTAGTGAACTGTATTTTAGAACAACTGTGAAATACTTATATTTTATTTTTTAAATATAATGAGAATTTGTTGCATGAAGAATTCTGCTAAACAAATGACAGAGCCAAAGCCATCAAAGTGGCTACCAAAATGGCTTTCATTGATTCCAGTCATAAACAGAAACGGTCATCTTATGATTTCCCAGGTTTGCAACACAATTCAGGTTTTTAAGTCTAGTGTGACGTTGAATAAGTAAAAACTGAGTTTAGTGGAACAGTTTTTTCTACCTCACTCTTAATGAGAATATAATTTTCATTTGATTTCAATACCTTAGCTTTTCAAAAAATAAATTTTGGGGTAGGCATTTGGCACCACAATTAAGACATCTCTGTGAGAAGCTCACATCCTACACTGAAGTGTCTGGCTCTGCTTCTGGTGCTGACTTCCTGGGAGTGCACACCCTGGGGGGCAGCAAGTGAGGTTCAAGTGGTTGGGTCCTTGCCACCCACATAGGAGACTTGGATTGAGCTTTGGGGAGTGGACCAGTGGATGGAAGATCTATGTTTTAAATATGTATAATGTAGCTGTTATTAAAAAACAAAGCCCCACTTTCCCTAAAGGCCTTGAAAATACCTTGCTTCCCCCCAAACAAAACATTTTTTACCTGAAATCCTACATCAAATTTCCAGGCACACACAAGGTCCCTGAACACCTGAAAATGAATTTCACAGCACACACACTTCAAAATGTAAAAGACACGCTTAGTTCCTCTACGTGGGTATTTAATGACATTCCAATTTCCACTTCAGACACTTCTCCCAGATCTGCCCATCCTGACATTTTACAAGACAGACCTGAGAGGCAATTTGTTCAGATTCAAAGGAAAGGATTAACATCCATATCGCTCTTTTTCCCAGGGACCAAAGGAATGCCTACCAATAGAGTCACCTAACAGGTAGGCAAACTCCAAATCAGGTTATCTGAGTTGTTTCGGTGATTTGCATGTACTGCACGCAATCTCTTGGCAAATGAGCCCTTCTGAGCTTCTGCCCAAGAGTACAAAAGGAACTAAACCAAGTCGTCATCACAAACCTGCTGGACCTGGAGCCAACCTGTGAAGTGCTTGAAAACGCCCAGAAAAGGAACCACACTCCCACGGCAGGCACCCCGCGGTCCCCAAGGCCTCGGCCTGCTGCTTCTGCAAACCCCTCAGAGGACGGCTCCCCACGCACTCCAGCCACGGAGAGCCGCGAGGGGAGCCCCGCAAGCCCGACCTACGCCCGTCCCTTCCCCGGCAACCCTGGCCTGCGAGCCCTGCGACGGCCGACCTGCGCGAGCTCGCGATTCCGGAGAAAGGAGGCGGCTCCCCGCAGCCCCACGCTCCCGCCGCGACCCAGCCCCAAGGGCCGGCCGGTGGAGGCCGCCCGGCAGACGGCCGCTTTGGGGCCTCGGAGCGCGCCGGCCCTCCACAAGGCCGTCCGCCTCCCGCTGAGCCGCAGTCCGGCGGCCCCCGAGGAGCCTATAGCCAAAAGCAGCATGCTGAGCGCGCGAACCGGCGGCGCACAGCCTCCGGCCTGCAAGGACTCGCGCCTCACCAGGCAGCGGCCCGGACACCCGGCGCACGCCCCGCCCCCGACGCGCCCGCCCGGCCTGATTGGCTGCTTGCGCGTGCGCAGGCTGTGCGTCCGGCGGGCAACCTGGCCCGCCACACAAGTTCCCGGCGGCCTCGCTGTGCGCCGGTTCTCCCAGCCCGGGCGCTCCGCAAACGCTGGTCTGTGCGCGGCTCCCGGCTGCTGGCGCTTGGTCCTCTTAGTAAGCGTGCGAAAGGACCAAGTCTAGAAGCCAGGATTAAATCCTTCGTTATCGAGGACGTCATTTTCCAGGCCCTGGAAACTTGTTTCCTTTGAGGAAATCGTTCTAGTTACTGGCACGGAAGACCCTAACATCCTCATATATGGAGGAAACACCTACAAATGTGGTCGAATAGACATTGTAGTATAGTTGAGCTATACCAATTTACAAAATACTACAGAAGTCCCAAGGAAAACGTGATTGATTTGTCCTTAAAATGGCTTTAGAATGCATATTCAGCCGAGTCTGTAAGAGCGAACATTTAACTGAGACGCTTCCGTCCGCCACTATTTCAGAACTATGATTTGGTATGTTATCTGTACAGAAGAGGAACAAATTCATAGTGTAACACGCTCACTTTGGCAACTCCTGGTACTGCCCACTTTAAGGGGGAGAGGAGTCTCCAGACACTTTTTTTTAATGAATAATTTAATTTTTATTGTGTTATTTGAGCAGCAGAGAGACAGAGTGGGCATCTTAACCTCTAGACTAAATGCTGGCACTGGCTTTTTTTTTTTTTAATCAAAATGTTTATTGTAGTGTTGCACAAAAAGTTTCCAGTCATAAAATGTATGTTGTAAATTACTTGGGGGAATCCCACACATATGGTATGCGACTTCCTAAAAACAACCAACACACTGCAAAATTAAGTCTATCCAACCTGTGATTGCTGAGAACAACTTCTTTGTTCTTAAATTTATCTTCGATTTACATTTTAAAGCTCTTCAGTTTAGAGCCATTTATACCACAAACAACATCCATCATCCATCATCTTACTGATCTATATATAGACCTATAGATAAAGGATGTTTTCCTTCAGTGTTTTGAGATAACCGGGATTTTTCATCTTCTGTCAAGCTAAATCTTTTCCTACAGATACTATAAGCAGATGAAATGAAATTCCCTTTTTTTGGTTTTCTTTCCCCCAAGGTTCCCCTTTTTTTTTTTTTTTTTTTTTTTTTGACAGGCAGAGTGGACAGTGAGAGAGAGAGACAGAGAGAAAGGTCTTCCTTTGCCATTGGTTCACCCTCCAATGGCCGCCGCGGCCGGCGCACCGCGCTGATCCGATGCCAGGAGCCAGGTGCTTTTCCTGGTCTCCCATGGGGTGCAGGGCCCAAGGACTTGGGCCATCCTCCACTGCACTCCTGGGCCACAGCAGAGAGCTGGCCTGGAAGAGGGGCAACCAGGACAGAATCTGGCGCCCCGACCGGGACTAGAACCCGGTGTGCCGGCGCCGCTAGGCGGAGGATTAGCCTATTGAGCCGCGGCGCCGGCTACTTCTCCAAGTTTCTAAACAGTTAAATGGTATAATATTCTGAAAACTGTGCTACAAGATTACATGAGATTGTTATTTATGGATAAATGGATTTTCCAATTCTAACAATTTTAAGACATCCGTTGACCATAAACTACTTTACTGGGATTTAAGAATGATCCTGTTGTTTTAAAAACATAACCCTCCATTCCCCATGCATACCATCTAAAAGGTTCCATTTAAAGATATAACTGATGGTGTTAGGTAGGAAGTCAGATATGAGCTTATGTGTATGTGACAAAGGCCTAAGGAAACATTTAGGTCCAGCATATGCATCTCAAAGTCATCCCGATACCGTTTCAGGGGCAGCCCGGTATTGGCATCCTGCCCTGCCCCTTCTACCAGATAACCTGCCAGGTGGGGGTCCCCGCCCCTTCTGCCTGATATCTGCCTTTCAAATATCCTACTCCAGATCCTGATCCTCCAGTGGGTCTTGCCCATCCTTCTCCTAACAGGGGAGACGCCAGCCAGGCTTCCCCCTGTCTGATAACTTCAGGGGGAAAACTCAGGAGTTTTTAGTATTTATATCCATGAAGTCTTTTGTTTGGAGATGTGAGAAGCCAAAGACCCATCCCCTTAAATACCCCCACCCCCCCACTCCACCCCCACCCCTGCCTCAACCAGACTGCACCCGCCTGGCCTGCCCGGGTGTACTCTCTCCACTCAACCATGTAAGCCCGCTCTCCCCCAGTCTGAGCGACTGGGCACTCTCTCTCAGGTTCTGTCTGGAGAGGTGCCCATCCGTTCTTATGGATGGCCCTGCCCTAATAAACCTTGCTATTTTACTTTCCACTACTCTTTGTTCACGCCCGAATTCTTTCTTGCGCAAAGACAAGAACCCTAGCATTCACCCGTAACAATGAGAAAATTGAAAATGGTCCCACAACCTCCTCTTCTGCACCCCAACGCCCCTCCTCCCCTACCAAACTAAATAAACTACCATACAGAAAGGAAAAAAAAAGATTTTTGCAAAGGCTTTGAAAATGTAGACCAGCCAACCCCCCCTCCTTTTTTTTGCAACTAATTCTAAAAAAGCAACGCCTTTTATCTACCACATCAACTAAGAAAAAGCCTATCAGGCAAAAGTCATTAATTAGTCCTACAGAACACGGATCGTCTGTATCTATTTTCCTTTTGTGGACATCATTGCACAACGGTGTGGATTGCGCAACCTGCAAGGGTGTCTTGGCCCTAGCATTCTCTTCATGCCACTCTCCCCGAAAACAGTCGAGGGCGAACTTTATTTAGCAGCATCAGCCTTCCTGGAAAGGTGCCTGCCTATCTAACCACAGGAAAGCAAGGCCCGAGAAAGGGAGGCGGGGGCGGGGGTAGGGAAGGGCGGAGGCAGGCCCCGAACCACAAGGCTGGCCCCAGCACTGAGTAATGGTGGCAGGAGCCCGGACTTTCCGCGAGCGCGCGCAGAGCCCGGAGCGCCGTCAGCCGGGGGGCGGGGTGAGCGGCCCCCCCGGGGGAGGGGGCGGCGGGGGCGTGGTCAGCTTTCAGTAAACATTGAACGCTACCGGGAAGAGAGGAAATGAGGCCAGCGGACCGCGCCGGCAGCGGAGATACTCTTCAGCATGCCTCGCCACTTTTCACAAAGGGCTAATGCCGCCTCTTAAAGAGCACGGCTTTGTTAGCAGAGAAGGCACACTCTCACATTGTAATATTTCCTTTGCAGTCTTCCACCTCTGGCTGTACCCCCAAACACGAGGCAGGGACAACCTCTTACCATCCTCAAAATTCTAACACGCAGCGCGAAAAACTACAAGCCCCAGGATGCAGTGCTGCCTCGGGTCAACCATCGACAGACGTCCCCTCACCACAACCCCAGAGAAACTACAAATCCCAGGATGCAGTGCTACCTCGGCCTCCAGAGCGCCTCTTGGAGGATTCCGTCCCAGCAGAAATTGGAGCAGGTCGGCACTGCATGCTGGGAATCCAGAAGCCCTAGAATCGGATTGGTTGAGATTTGCCAGTGACGGCTCTTACGCGAGCGCCTGTTATTGGGGAAGAAGGAAAAAGGGAGTGCTACGCACTTCCTCCGGACGGAAGTGGGCGACAGACCCACCAGGTACTAATCTCCCGCGCGTCGCAGAGCGCGGCTGTGACCTGACGGAAGTAATCCTTTAGACTGCCCCGGAACCCACGGGGGTAGGCCGCTGGGGGTGGGGGGGCGGCCCTGAGTAGGGGCTGTGGCGGTTCGCGGGGACCTGGCTGCGGCGGCTGCGGTGGCTGCGGGGTTGTTGAGTGAGTCTCGGGCTGGAGTAGGAGCGGAGCTCCGGGCACGCGGGCTGACGAGCGAGGCTGGTACTGGGCGCGCTCGAAATCCCACTCCCCACCCTTTTCCATCTGGGCGGGGAAGGAACGGAAGCTCTCGACCTCTCCGGGCCTCTCCAACTCCTGTTTGGGGGAGGGGAGGCGAGGGCGATGGGACCTGTCCTGGCGTCTCCGGGTGGGTTTGGAAAGAGGTGGAAGGATGGGCGGCAGCCGGTGAGACTGGGTGTTCTCTGGGCTGAGCGCGGGGAGGGTGGTGTTCGGAGCATGGCAACCCTGTCGTTTTTCCTTTTTGCTTTTCTCACGTGAGTTCAGATTCACGCTTTTCAGCCCCCAGAACCCGGAGAAGTTTGCATCCTGGGCAACTTGTTGGGCAATCTTTGCTCGAATTGGTGTCCTGGGGCTTTTGTGCATCAGCCTCCCAATCTTGCCTCAAAGGAGATGTCTGATTGTGTCAGACACCCCATTGATTTCTCAGAGTACTGGAATCTCTTTAGTAGCCTTAGCTGTGCAGTTTGTGTCTCATTTGGTGCTAGCATTTCTGCTGTGCATTACTTTCATTGTAGAAGACAGCTAAAATCTGTTAGTCTTAAAAATCTCCCTTTCACACTACCAGGTTTGCTTTCTGATCCCCAGATAGGTTTTTTTTTTTTCATTTTTTGTAAAGTGGCCTAAAATGATAAATCTCTGACCTCGTATATACGGTAATACCGTTTGTATTGTTGTAACGTCGCGGCTCCCATTTGAGTTTATTCATCCGGCAGATAAAATGGCAAGGAAACAGCCCTACTTCCTGCCATCAGGGGTGTTTGTGTTTATTGCCAATGATTTGGGATTCTTAATTTTTAAATGATTACCTTCTTTTTCTTTAAATGTAAGGTTTATCTGATAACTCCTATTAAAAAAACACATATACATGTACATACATATTTAAGCTGGAGACAGTTACACGATAATAATGTTGTAATATGGGTAGGCAGTAGGTAGGCAGTAGTTTTGAAGTAGGAATTAAGTCTTCAAAAATGCATGTCTTGGGTTTTTTGTTTTGTTTTTTGGTAGTTGGCTTTTTTATTACCAGAAAATAATCAGTAAAGTCTTTAATTTACATGCATATGCATTAAGGTATTTCAGCTAACCTGCTTTTCTAAATGCTTTGCTTTTCCATTGTTAAATAAGTTTATTCAGGGATGCCTGAAATATCAAGACTTGGTGAATAGAAAACTGATAGTGAATATACTAAGTATTAGGACAGAGCTCCTGGATGCTGGTTTACTCCTCGAATGCCCACATTGATGAGGCTGAGCCAAGCTGAAAGTGGGAGCCAGGAACTCAGCCCAGGTCTCCCACATGGGTGTCAGGAACCCAGTTACTTGAGCCTTCACTGCTACCTTCCTAGTATGTTAGCGGGAAGCAGGATGCCCAGAGGAGCATCCAACTCAGTCACTGATAGGGATATGAGTGTCCTAACTGGCATTTTAACTGCCAGGCCAAGTGCTTAACCCTCCCTCCCCCCATAAATATTTGTTGAGCATTTGTTATGTGCCAGGCACTATTGTAGCCCTCCCACCATGGAACTTGAGGAAAGAGAAGATATCTGAGTAAGAAAATGCAGTTTTACATAGCGATAAGTGTGAAGAAAATATAGCAACCTCGGGGGTTGGAGTAACTGGGAAGGGGGTGTCTAATTTTGATAGGGTAATCAGGGACGACCTCTCTGAGGAGTTGATGTTTTGCCTGGTGAGCTAAATGGTAAGAATGATGTAAAAGAATTACTTTAGCTTAAACTGCAGATGAGAAACCTTGAACTAGGTGTGAACTCGACCTACTCAAGGAATCCTAAGAAGGCCATTCTGGCTGGAGCACAGTGAAAGAAGAGTGCTGGGAGGTAAGATCCAAGTGGTTACAGGAAGTAGATAAGATGAAGCATTTGTAGTCCTTATTCTAGGGAGTGACATCTGATTTATGCATTAGATGGTTGGTTGCTAGGTGGGAAAGAGCAGCTAGGAGGAAAGTGGGGAAACCAACTTGTAAGGATGCTATAGATGTGGTAGCCTAAACTAGAGGTGGAGCGTTGGAAGTTAGAACCAGTCTGATTTGGAATGTAATTTGGACCTAGCATCAGATGGGCCTTGCATTCACCCTGGTACCAAAAAAAATTTTTTTTGAATAATCAGCTGTCTTGTTTGAGCATCTGTGTGAAAAGAAGTATCATTTACTGAAATTGGAAAGACTGGGAAAGGAGTATCAGTTTCTTTTTTTTTTTTTTTTTTAAGAGTTATTTTAATTATTTGAAAGTCAGATTTCCCATCTGCTGGTTCATTCCCCAAATGGCCTCAATAGTGAGGGCTAGGCCAGGCTGAAGCCAAGAGCTATTTCTAGGTCTCCCACGTAGGTGCAGGGCCCCAACCACTTGGGCCACTTCCCACTGCTTTCCCAGTCACATTAGTGGGGAGCTGGATTGGAAGTGGAGCAGCTCATATGGGATGCCAGCCTCTCAGGCAGGGGCTTTACCTGCTTTGCCACAATGGCAGCCTCAAGCATCAGTTTCTGAGAGAGAAATCAGAAGTTCTGTGTGGGACCCACTAAGTTTGATAACTACTAAGATAGCTGAGAGCATTTGCACTAGGCAAATAGTGTATCTATGACTGGCAGTCTGGAAATCAGTAGGGAGATAATCTGAGAATCATTTTATAGATGATATATTTTTCATATTGTTTTAAAAGATTTATTTATTTATTTGAAAGGAAGGCAGAGTTAGAGAGAGACAGAGATCTTCCCATCTGCTGGTTCATTCTCCACAATGGCCGCAATGGCTGGAGTTGGAACAGGCTGAAGCCAGGAGCTTCTTCTGGGGTCTCCCATGTGGGTACAAGGACCCAAGCACTTGGGCCATCTTCTGCTGCTTTCCCACGCATGTTAGCAGGGAGTTGGATTGGAACCGGAGCAGCCAGGACACAAACTGGCACCCATATGGGATGCGAACACTGCAGCCGGTGGCTTAACCTGCTACCAGCGCAAGCCCCTTATAGATGGTACTTAAACCTGTTGCCTGGAAGACATCAAGTAGAAAATGTTAATGGAAAAGAGGGCAGATGACTAGAAGCACTCAGTAAGAAGAGGAGCCAACTGTAATAAAAGCAGAAAAGCCAGGAGAGTGACATTTGGAATACTAAGGAAGAAAATGTTTCAAGGAGGAGGGAGTGGTAAGATATGTAAAATACTGCTAAGAGTTAAATGAAGTTTAAAAATTGACCAGGGGACCAAGTAGTTGAAATTTAGTAAGAGCCTCTTGAGCAGACCAATAGACCAAATGTTTGAGCTGAGTGGGTTAAGGAAACATGGGTGGTAGTTGGAGGGAAGAGGTGGGGATGTTACAGTGTGGGGCTGGATGTCATGGCAAGAGAAAGACCTTAGGTAAGAGGGAATGAGACTCAGTGGTTAGGTGGAAAGGCTGATCTTGGATAGCAAGGATGGTTTTTATTAAACTTTTGAAATTATAGACAGTATATGCTATATAGGTATAAGTATTTGCAGTCTGAAGGTACAAAGACAGGCAGTTGAAGTGATTAGAGTTTACTTTTAGGCCACCCATTCAAAGGTTATTTTTTATTATTTTATGATATACAGAATCTATAATTAGATGCACATTATATTTTTGGAATATATGCTTATACTTTCTAAACTGAAAGAAAGCAATTTGGAGATGTTGTATGAGATGGGGATCAAGCAGTTTTTCAGGGTGAGATAGAGTAATTCATGAGAACCTGCAGTACCCTGAAGCCCTGAAATTCTGTGTTTTATGTGAGTAACTCTGCTTAGTAAAGATGTCAAGTTGAGTTCCAGGCAGCTGATGTAGGGGAGTATGAATTTCAGATAAATAGAGCTGGAGAGACTTTTAGACATAATTGATTCCAGTTCCCTCATTTGGAAGGTGGGAATCAAGTCCTAACATTTAATCCATCTGAGTCTGAAGGTAGAAATGTCTAACAGAGCAGAAATTCAGATGTGAAGATGTTTCAGTACACATGAGGTAGCTATTGAAATTAATTTAACAGAGCTATTTCTTAATTTTTTTTTTTTTTTTTTGACAGGCAGAGTGGACAGTGAGAGAGAGACAGAGAGAAAGGTCTTCCTTTTGCCGTTGGTTCAATCTCCAATGGTGCCACGGCTGGCGCACTGCGGCCAGTGCACCGTGCTGATCCGAAGGCAGGAGCCAGGTGCTTCTCCTGGTCTCCCATGGGGTGCAGGGTCCAAGCACTTGGGCCATCCTCCACTGCACTCCCGGGCCACAGCAGAGAGCTGGCCAGGAAGAGGGGCAACCGGGACAGAATCCAGCGCCCCGACCGGGACTAGAACCCGGTGTGCCAGCACCACAGGCAGAGGATTAGCCTATTGAGCCGCGGCGCCAGCCAGCTATTTCTTAATTTCTTCATGGTTAGAGACCCCTTATGAAGTTTGATGAAAGCTATGAACCTTCTCATTCCCCTTACTCTTTTCTGTACGTGTGCACAAAAATATACATGCATATTGAAGAATTTGGGATTTTACTGCTTCTTAATTATGAATCTCTTTGAGGGACTGCAGATTGAGAACCTGCTAGAATGGAGTTAGCAAGTAGCAACCACAGGCCAGCAAAGTCAGCCCACCACCTGTTTTTGTTCCAGCCACAGCCAGGAATAGTTTTGACATTTTTTAATGGTTGAACAAAAATTCAAAGGAAGAATATGTTTTACCAGTTATGAAATTCAAACTTCTATGCCCATAAATAAGTTTTCTTAGAACATAGCCACACTAATTTGTTTACATCTTGTCAGTAGCTGCTCTTGCTCTCCATTCACAGAATTGAAATAGTTGTGACAGAGACCATATAGCCTACTTAAGCATAAAATATTCACTACATGGCCCTTTACAGAAAAAATTTTTTTGCTCCCCACTAAAAAGGTAAGTTCCAGGGTGGTGGTGGATTGTTTATGTCAAGCATTTAGAACAGTGCTTGGCACGTGGTAGGCCCATAATACCTGTGGGAATGAACCTCTGTCGGAAATAGAAACATAATAGCTAGTGTTTTGATGTGTTTGTTGTGTGCCAGGCACCATTCTAAGTGCTTTATATATAAGCTTGTTCTTCAAAACAACCCTGTAAGGTGAATCTTATATTCTTCCCATTTTATAGTTGAGGAATCTTAGGCACAAAGAGGTTAGATAACTTCATCCAAATGGACGAATTTTCTCAAGCTAGAAATTAGCCAAGGGGAATGAAGGGTTCTAAAGTATACTACTTATAAGCATGAGGGGCCTGCCTTCAGCATAGCAGGTTAGGCTGCTACTTGGGACTTGCACATCCTCCGTGAGGAGAGCCTGGTTCCCTCCTTTGAGTCCCTGCTATTCTGCTTTCATCCCAGCTTCATGCTGGTGTTGTATCCTGGGACCAACTGGTGATGGCTCAAGTACTTGAGTCTCTGCCACCCACGTGGGAGACCTGGATGGACTTTATGGCTCTTCCACCCAGTCCTGCCTGTTGCAGGCATTTGGGAGTGAACTAGCCAGCAGATGAAAGATCTCTGTCTCTGCCTTTCAAATTAAGCAACAAAAATAAGACCACTTTTAAGTACTACATTCTGAGGAAGACTGAAATAAAGTATTTGGGAATGATAGAAAACAGCAGGAAAATGGTTCAGTAGGACAGATGAAACAGGATGGAATAGCAGAGGATTACGGCCTGCCCTGGTGTTAATGTATTACACGAGGCAACCAAGACTATGTCTTGATTCATGTCCCAACCCGTGTGCCATATCCATCACCCTCCTATTTGATAAGCCCCAACTGCCCAATTTCTTCTGCCTCTCTTCCTTTCCTGTCTTAGTCTTCTGACCAAACTGGTCTCCTTGTTCTCCCTCCTTGAAAGGCTCTCGCCCACATATCCATGACTCACCCTGACATTCTTCAGGTCTCTGTCAAGTCGTGAGGCCTGTCTTCACTGTTCTGTTTGAAACAGCAACCTCATCATGCTTCCCTACTCCCATTACCTTTACCTTACCCTCCTTTGTTTTTCCCTGTAGCACTTCTTCCATCTCACGTATTACTTTGTTATTGGTTTTTTGTCCCATGAATCTTGAGCTTTCATCTCCATGTCTCCAGTGCCTAGGACAGCACCCTGGCATACTAGCCCTTAGTAAATATTTGTAACAGTGAGTTACTTTGTGTGTCCCCAAACTGTCTCACTTGGCTCATAATGTTTACATTGCCTGAATCACCTTGTCTTTCCAGTGTAGCTTGATAAAAACACATCTGTCCATAGAGATCCAGATCAAAAGCAACATGCTTTTTGTGCCTCTTCACTTCAGTTTGCTGTTGCATTGCAGATCTCTAGCTTCTGTTTACTCTCTTTAGGACAACCAACCTATTTGTTCCCTGTTAGTATCTGCATATCCAAAGGATTTGGGTTAATTTTAATATCACTATATCTTTTCAAAGGTTAATTACAAAACTACACTGATTTGATATTTTTGAAGTCAGATTATCTAAACTTCAAAAAGCCGTCAGTAAGAACTTTTTTTTTTTTTTTAGTAAGAACTTTTTCAAAAGTTCCTACATTGACCTTATTTTTAAAAAGTGAAGTATAACCTACATATAGTAAAACACTCATTGTACCATTTAGTTTTGACCAATGCGTAGGAAGACTGTGAACATTTTTATCATTCCAAAAAGTTGCTCGTGCTCCTTCCTTATGACCTCTCCATCAGAAGCAACGACTGCCCTGCCACCATAGGTTGTTTTGCCTATTCGGTAATTTCACATAAATGGGATAATACAATAGGTGTTTTATATTCATTCACATTGTGTGTGGCAGATCATCCCTTTTTACTGTGACTAATACTCTGTATGA